TTTTAATGACTTCACTTTCTAATAAAAATTCTGTATAGCATAGATAATTAGATTTTTTAAATGAAATTGGGAAATAGAGTGCCCCAAAGAGTTTAATTGCAATTTTATTATGGATCAAGCGTAAAAATGGGATCTTTCGCTCATATAACAAGTATGTACATTGTGGGTTCTTGCCACCTGTTACACTAGAACGTGAGCATACAGTGATCAGTGTCACATTGTCTCTGCCCTCAGATAGCCCTCACTCCATGGGGGAAGCAGAGGAAGAAGCTCGTGCCTAAGTGGAGCACGGCCAGGTTTATAACAGGCAGAGTTGCAGGGATCTGGAGAAAAGAAAATACCATTGTTTCAACTATTTTTGCCATAGAATGCATTCTCCAGTGGGTGTTACCCGTGAGCCACCTGAATTCCTTCTGTCATGTTGCACAGAGAAGCACATGTCTGACAAGGCTGACTACCTGGGCTTAGCGCCACACCTCACTTCTCAGGTAAGGGAGGAACAGGCCTCTGTGCTTGCACTTCACTGATGGTAAAAACAGGGAAGACTAGTGCAACAACTTAAAAGGGCTTTCCACATCTAGCCAGATGAGAGCTTATGTTAATAAGCTCTTGGGCTCATTTTCCTGAGATAGGTGAAGAAGGGTAACCTGGCAGCCTTAGTGAGCAAGCTCTTTGAGAGAGCTAGGACTGAGGGGAGCCAAATGTGTTTTCACAGAATCCCCTGGAAGAGCAGAATTTCAAATAAATTATTAACCCTCAAGTTTTAAAATAAATTAAAATGCACATCTTCTGACCAACACACCTACGCCAGCTCCCTTCAGATTCTCTCAAACCTTTTGATGACCAGACTGGCCCTTCTAGGAGCAGTCATCCAGCATAGACAAGGAGTGTAGTATGTATTGTGAACAGAGCACAAATGGAGAGTAGGAGAAGACCGAGGATCTTATGGCCACCCTGCCTACTCGCAAGCAGCCTGAGCTGTGGCAAGCTGTCTCCTCTTTTAGAGTCTTGTGTCCCTTTGGTAAAATGTGGGTAGTAGCACCTACGGAGCAAATAGAGTCTGTCATCAGAATAATAATAAGCATTTAATAGCCACTTTTATCAATCCTCTGAAGAACATTTGAAACATATTAACCCCATTGTATGGACTGGGAAACACAAGTTCAGAGGCATTAAGAAACTTGCATAGCATTGCTAATTAGGAAGGCAGCATAGCTGGTGTGTGCTTTTGCATCCTGGTATCTCCACCACTCACACTGCCATTAAGAGCTGTATGTGAGGAGTGTAGAGGTCATAAGTTTATATCTTGGTAAAATTCTTGTCTAAAAAGGTAGTGAGTTCATGCTGGCCAGAAGTACCTCTATACATTAAAAGTGAAATAAATAAGACATAGCTTGTGTCTTCCCTGTGACTGGCTGGTGTCCTTCAGGCTGTCCGTTTTTTCAGTCCATTTTGCCATCCAGCAGTAATGAGCTGAACCTGCAGAATCTGCAGCATATGGTAGATTCCTTCCAGTTGAGGCAGATGCTATATACCTGATTTTTCAGATCCTTCCCTGGGTCAATTAGTGATCACAGGAACACAGGAGAACTATGTGCTCAACTTACAGAATGACAGAGTCACATGTCGAGGAGTATCTCTAGTGTCTCCTTTCTACAGAAAATGAAGGAGATTGGATGGGTAAATGAACAGATGATGAGTGGAAAGGATAGGAGAGGTAGAGAGAGAGAAAGAGAGAGAGAGAGGAGAGAGGAGAGAGACCAGTAGACCAGACCATTGGCTGGAGACAAGAACTTAGTTACTATAACTCAAAACTCCAGAAAAATAACATGTGTTTCTGGAAGTTCTTGAGCAATGTTTTGAGGCAAACAGACCTGAGTTGAAATCTGAGCTCTTCCCTTGGTTAAATTCCTTAAATGTGAAGCTTTCCAATTTGTGAACTGAGGTTGATAATGTTGTGTCTCAGGGATATTGTGAGAGATAACGAATTAAATATTTCTCAGCCTCCCTTTTTGCCTGATATTTGAATAAAAGTTGTTTGAAACATTTTGGCTACATCCTTTAGGTTCCTCTTTACTTGTGTTTGGAGGGGAAATGCCATGGAATTTCTCCTTCTCCTTCCTCTGAAAACCCATTACCAAATTGCCCCAGACAGAGCCACCGAGAGTCTCTTCCTCCAGTTTCCTGTCACTAACTTGTGCATCTTTATTCTATACTACATCTGAAATTAACCTAGCTATAGCATTTATTGGATCATAAGAGAGATAATCAAGAATCAAGTACTGCATATATCATGTTATACATTTTCTACCTCATTTTCTTCTTTCTTAAACATATGGTTTTTTTTCTGGAGTGCTGAAATGTCAAACGGGACTCTTGAATACTTTCACAAGTAAGAATAAGCCATTTTCTGACATATTCTCATTCCCTTACTGTTAAGTCTAAAGTCAAAAAGCTCTGAAAATGCACATTTTTTCCAACACTCATTTGGAAGCAAAAGCTGACCCAATTTCATATGAGACTATCTGTAGCTCGTATTTATTCCACTCAGGATGAATGAGTTCCCCAGACTCTCCTAGGCATAGATGTAATATTTGGCTTATGCATTCTCTTTCTAAAATACAAAGATTTCTGAGTTTGGAAGCACAATTGAGCAAAGGGTTTCAGTGAAGGATTTATGGGCTTCTGTTTCAAAATGTCTAAAGGAGGTCACAGTGTCCTAGTATTGGGAAGATGACGTGGATGAGTGTCCAACCTCTGACAGACAATTAGATGGTGTGGCAACATGGTTCATCTGATGCCGATCAAAAGCATGAAGACCAGTTTCCATATTCTGTCAATTTAGATCACAAAAAATGAATTAAATGATCATAGTTGGCACAAAATAAAATAACAAATATTTCTTAAAACCTGGGCTTCAAAAGTTTCATTGGGACAAAGTAATTTTAAAAAATTCCTTAGAAGCAAAAATAAACTGAGATTTTCTTTTAATTGAATGTGGCTGACCTTGGGGGAAGGTAGGAGGACTTTTTCAGTCTGACTCATCATTTTAGCCTTGTGAGGAGGAACCAGGACCTAAGAGTGAACATGAGGAAGTGAAAAGCTCAGAGCAGAGCGTGAGAAGGTCTTGGCTCTTCATTTGGGTCTGTTCTTGACTTCTTGAGTGATCCTGGGCTTGTCACTTCCCTTATCTGTCCCCTAGGAACTAGGTTAAGTAAATGACCTCTGCCTTTCCCTTTCTGTGAGTCTAGGACTGGAGGCCAGGGCCCCAGAACACAGGAACAAGTGCCAGGGTTAGAAACACTGAGCTGCCTGTTGGCTGCTTCTGTTCATCTGAGGGATGGGAGAAGACTTGATGTCCTGGGGCCCTTCTTTTACTTTTTCATGACACTGTGCTTCCATGTCTTTGGCTGCTGAGTGTCTGATGCAGTTTGGCACCAGCACCTCTGCTGCTGTTCACAGGGCTCTATCACTGCTGGACCTGGCAGACAGGTGACCACAGCTCTGATGGTAGCAGCCTTCATCAGTGGTTTCCATGTGCTCTTCAACTGCATTGAAGGTCATAGCAAAGCACTACTAAGGAGCATAAGACAGGAGTGTGGCAGTTCCCTATTATAGAACAAAGAACCAGGGCAACGTCTGCTCAAGGAGCTCACCATTATGGTCTCAACATTTTGGGGTAAAGGGATTGGAAACAAATGGCTGATCAATCCTTCTCCCTTTCTTTCCCTCCCTCACTCTTCCATTCTCTTTCTTTATTCTTTTGTCTTTGATTTTATGCAGAAAGTATCAAAATTTTGACTTTTATCCTGTTGATTGTTTAACTTCTTCCAGAATTTGATAAGGTATGGCAAGTCAGTGGTTCTGCCTCTCTCTGAAGATCCACCCCACTCATCTGGAAGAGATTTCCCTGAGCATTAACTATGACAGGACAAGAGCCTGACAAGGGCTGGTGGCTTCCACAGTAAAGTAACAGCGCTGACTAGCATCTTTAAGGTCTTTGGTTTGTGCAGACTGTTGGAGCCATTTAGATAGTGTCCATATGGCTTGCATCGGGGCATATGGAGATGAGGATACCTCTGGGTTGCTGGCCCTGTTAGAAAGGCCTGGACTGTGTGTGTGTGGTGTGTGTGTGTGTGTGTGTGTGTGTGTGTGTCTGTTGTTTGTGAGTGGTAAATGTGTGTGGTATGCATGTGGAAGACGGTATGATGTACTGTGGGTTGTATTATGGGTACAAATATGCATGAGTGTATATATGAGAGTGTATTGAGATTGGGTGTGTATGTGTGAGGGTGTATGACTAGGCTGTGTGTGCATGAGTGTGCGTGGTGTGTATGCATGATACGTGATGGGTGAAAGTGTATCAATGTACTGTGTGGGTATGTAAGTGTGTTATGTGTGTATGGTGTGTGAGTGGGTGCAAATGTATGGCTGTGCTGTGTGTGTGTGTGGCACATGTGCATGGAATGTGAGTGGGTGAAGTGTACGCATTCACTGTATGTGAATCTGTGGATTGTGTATGGTGTGCACATGAGAATGATTATCGTATGTGTGCACATGTGTGCATGAGTATGTGTGTGTTGGGGGTCCTTTCAGATCCAGAGAGGTGCTGCCCTGGAAGGGCTGTGTCATAGGCTCTCCAAACCTGACTCTGGCTCAGATTGATCCCTGTTTCTCAACTGCTGGGATCAAGAGACCTTTTGTCCTTCAGGGACCAGTGACCATGGAGAAAGGCGATGCTAAAATGAAGTGACAGAAAGCAACTAAATTACGTTTCTTAAGGAGAAATTTCTGATGCCTCTGCTTCAGAATCACAGAACCTTTTGAAATGTCATTCTGGACATACATTTTACAATTTAGAATATTTGAATAAGTGAAAAAATAAAGAAAATCTAACACAGATTTTTAACAAATAAGGGACTAAAAATATATTCCATCATTTTAAATATACAGTCAATTAAGGGAAAGTAGAAAAAGGTTAAGAAAGAGGAAAGGAAGAGGGAGAAAAAGAGACACTCAGAAGTTGAAGCTGTTGAGTTGCCTTAGCCCCTGTGGAATCATGACATGCCTATTTTGTACCTCCTGTAGGTTATCTCAGGTTAAGCCAACGCAGGGCTTTTCAGAGTCTAGGGACTGCATGTAAGGGAGGAGAAGGATCAGATAGGGCTTAGCTTTAGTTGCACAGTTCTATTTACTGAACTGGTAAGTATTAGGAAGATGCTATGGGCAGAGCACTATCAGGGGAGTCCCCTACATTCTGAGTTTGGCTCTGCTGCTGACCCTGTCTAGCTCGGTGAGGCTGCTTACTTCTCTGAACCCCAGTTCCTCCATCTCTATTGAGTGAATCTGGCAAAGTGCTGTCTAAAGCTGGGTCAGGAGGCATGCCTGGTCCTACAAGCGAACCCCAGAGGCTCCCTTGAAATGGGGGCACAGATTTGTCTCCTTCCTGCAGTTACTATTGCCAAGAGCCCACTTCCCCATGAGGGCAAACTGGAGTTTCCTCTGAACAACTAAGGGTGAGAATGTAAGATCGAGGTGCTGCTATGCAGCACTGTGTGCATCCCCCCATGCTTCCTCCTTTAGGCCACCTGTGCACCAGGGTCTCCTCCCTACTTCTCCCTCTTGTATAATAACCTATTAGGAAGGTAGTGAGTGGGTTGCATAAATTCATCTGTTAAACCTCAAATTCAGGAAATACTTTTAGTAGCTCATATTAACTGAAATAGCTATAGTGTGTTTGTTATTTGTGGTATTTGTGTGTGAGTTATTTTTTCTAACCAATGATTTACAAGTAACCCAGACTCAATGTGGCCCCTAATTTTTCAAAGTATTCAAATTTTCAATGAAAAAATTCATTTAAAAAATGAATTGTGCTCTTTAGCATGCATCTAGCACCTATTAATCTAACTATTTTGCCAGTCTTTTTGTGTACACTTCTCACCTGATAGACAACTGTGCAAGGCAGACATTTTTATTCTTCTTCTGAAGATTAAAGACACTGGAGCTAAGAACATTTTTTAAAAATTTGCCTTAAGTCAGCACTGAAAGCGAACATTAGGACTTGGGTGAAATTTGACTGCTTTTGAAGGTCCTCCAGTTTCCATCCCATACACCTCACACTGCATCCAGGCCACAGTTTTGTTTTGTTTTGTTTTGTTTTAGGAAAATAAAATCTTTTTTCCTGCCATCACTGGAGTCTCCTAAGCCTCAGTAAATATAATCAGAGTTTGATTTCTTTGCCTTTTCCCAGAATGAAGGAGTTGCATGGCTCTCCCTACCTCAATGTAACTTCATGCAAATAGTATTTTATATTTCCATGGAACAAAGTTTTACCATGTGCTTCCAATATGCCAGACACCGCTCTGGAAACTTTCACATGTATCATTTAATGGGAGAAGATGTTGTGGTGTTCATTATATAGACAGCGAAATGAAGAGATAGAGCAATGCAATTATTTACCCAAAGGCCAATAGCATAGGAAACACCGAGACTTGCGTTGTGAACAAGCAATTCAGAGAGCACAGTTCCATGGGGTGCCTAGGGCTGTGCCTTGACCTGAAACTGAGGCCCCCTTGTTGAAGCATGTGATCAAGTCCCCACCAACCCACCAGCTTCCACCCTCACTACGCTGGGCTTCCCCAGTTTCGGTCTGTGGTCAAAACTCAAGCCCGTTGTTGTGGGAAAAGGCATGCTTCCTCTTGGCTTTTCCCATGTTGCATCAGCCTGAACCATGGTTGGCTCATTTTCATTGGCCCAGATTCCTTTTTTTAATTTCATGGCTCGTCAAACATTTGCACATATTATGCACTGGCTGCATATTACAGAAGAGAAATTGTAATGTGGTTTGCTCAAAATCACACTTGAGCTGCATCCTCTTTCCAGAATGTTCTTTCATTATCCAGAAAGATCCTTTGAGATACACTTTTGGTGATACATTCTCCTGGAAATCTTCCTCAACTCCTCACCAAATTCATCTATCCATCCATCCACCCATCAATCCACTCATATACTTGTTCAGGGAATGTTTCTTGAGTACATAGGATGAATCAGGCACTGGTCTGGGTCAGTTTCTGGGAACCCAACAGTGAACCAAACAGACAAAATTCGCTGGCTCCAAGGAGCTTATATTCTGTTGGAGAAAGATGGACCATGAACACATAAGCAATTAAAATGATGGCAATAAGTTCCATGAAAAAAATTAGACCAAGATGGGGATAGAGTGTGGGGAGACTTGGAGGATATGTGAGGGAAAGAAGTGCTATTTTAAGGAGGCTGTTCAGGGAAGAAGGCCTTACCAGAAGGTAGGGACTAGGTGAAGACCTGATGGAAGTGAGAGAGTAAACCATGTCAGTAGTCAGGGAAATCAATTGCCAGGCAGAGCATTGGCAAGTGCCAAACTAGGAACAGAGTGTGCTTCCCTTGTTGAAGGGCCAGAAGCCATAGCTAAGTGAGTAAGTGACAAGCAGTGAGGTCAGAGAGATGTTTCCAGCCCATCTGTGATTTCAGTGCCCTCTGACCAAGAGCGTTGACTTCATGTTTACTGTCTCTGGTTCATGGATCTGTCTGACACTAGCCTGTGTACCCAGAAGCAAGCCTGGGCTTGTTAATCTTCACATCCTCAGCACATAGCTCAAGACCTGAGACAGAGTGAGAGCTCAGCTTTCATGAACACTTCTGCTACTTTGCTTCTTTTTTTAAAGCCAAGAGTCCTAGTTAAAGATAATTTGAAACATGGGGATTTTGCCAGAATGCTGGCTCTCCACCCCACTTGGCCAGTTCTTCACTGGACAACATCAGACTCGTAGAATTGCCACAGAAAGGATGAGGTGCCAGGAAAATCTGGAACTGAACATTGTGGAGAAGAAAGTGTTAGTTGGAGTTCCTAGGAAGAGGAAGAGGGCATCTCTAGAACCTCTGGAGATTAACAGCAGGCAAGATCCCTACTGGGGACTGGGTTTATTAAGAGTGACCAATGAGAAGGCTCTCCAGAAACCCTAAAGTGTGACAAGATTTCAGCCAGGACTTTCCTCTTACCACTTTGCTGACTCAGAAGCTAGCAAGCGGAACCCACAAGACCTGGAAAGCTTTTGTATCTGGCCTTTCCCCTCTCAGAGCAGAACACTGATCTCTGAGATGCTTGCATTTGTTCTCAAGCAGGAAGCAATACTAGGGAATGCAGATGGGTTGGGAAAGAGGAGAGAAGAGAGCTAAGGAGAGCAGCTGGCCTCTGGTGACCACCAGGGTCAGTGACCTCTGCTGCCTGCTTCCAATCTGAATCCTGCATCCTGAGGGCAAAAGGAGACCCATAACAACTTATACCCACTTAGAGCAATTAGAAGAATAGCAATTAATGAAAGTTGAAGCTACAGGACATCTTGAAGTCTGGGAGTGGGAGAGGCATTAGGGCATTTTCACAAAGGAGTGACAAGCTTGGATTTTCAGCCAGAGGATGTGTGTGTGTGTGTGTGTGTGTGTGTGTATGTGTGTGTGTATGTGTGTGTGTACGCATGCTGCACACCACAGTTACACAATCCTAGAGTGGTAACTCAAGAGAGTTGGGGAGGGAGGTAATTCTTTTTAGCTGGTAGGTCAGGTGGTAGGTTTGCTTTAAAATAGTAAAAATGGAAAAAGCAATGATTTTTCTGTTTTTAAATTCAACAGTAGCTTTTGAGAAATGAAAAACACTGTTAGGACCTAGGTGGGGCAAGTAAGCCTTGTCCTCTGGGAGCCTGCACACCAATAGGCCCAGAACACTTGCAAAAAGATCACTTGAATTTCTTGGGTTCACATGCATGTGGCAAGTTTTGTAAATGGAATACTAAAGAACAGTATACCCAGATAACTGATATCAAAAAACCAGAGAGTTAGTTCTGTGTCAGTCAGTGACCTGAGCCTTCCTTTCTGCATCCTTCAGTGGAACTGATCTCCATCCTATCTCCCTCTCTTTCAGGGATATTTTGAAATAACAATTTGAAGCAAGTTAAAAGTTCTGTTAAATTTCCCTCTGAGGGACCTCTGTTCACAAGGTAATACCGGATGAGGCTTGGGATAAAATCTAACATTTGTTCAAAACTCAGTTTGTACCAACTCTGGTCCTCCTGCTATGGCCCCAGCTGTCTACTGTTTGGCCTTTCTTCCAGTTTTCAGAATTACTATTCCTGACTGACATTAGCAATTGGTTTCTGCAATTCAGTGCAATGCTTTAACAACACACACATGTTTATATGTACCTGATTGCTAGGCTGTAGAATTTTTATTGAGTTGCTATTATAAATGATGAAGGCAGGACTGTTGTTCGAGCTCAGAGGCAATGTGGTGCTGCATGGAAACTGCATCTGTGGGCAAAGGGGAAGAGGTGTCAGAGAAGGAAACCATGGTGTGAATTGTTATAGGAAGCCACATACAGGGTGGCAGTGCTCCCAGGCCCCCCAGAAATAGCTGTTGAGAACCAACTTGCTGGCAGGCAGCTGAGCTGCTGTAGAATGATCTGCAGGCTGCGATGGGGAGCATGAAGCCAGCCTGAAGTATGTCTAAACCGGTGATCACTCTCCCCTGTGGAACACAGTGTAGGGTGTTTTTTTTTTTAATTTTCTTTTCCTAAGTAAGAGTTAAAGGGAAAGAGGAATAAAGTAAAGGAAAAAAAAAAAAACAACAGGGTTTGAATTGAGAACAATAGTCACTGGAGTCAGATTCTGTGAGCGTCTGACCCGAATGACTACCTCCCTGCCAAGGATTAATGTCAGGGTCTCTTTACGTTCATTTCCTGGTGAAATCGCACACCCTCAGATGCTGTTGCCATGTTGTTTGTTCCATTCCAGGAATAGTTGTCTTGGAGAGTTAGAGAGCTCCTCTCTTGAGCTCAAGGAGGCCTTCCCATGGTCAGAGAGGAGCAGCTACACTCCCTGAGACATTCCAGTGTGACCATGGTGAGCCTTGCAGGGAAGAGCTGATGCTGCCAGCCTGTCAGGTTTAATGAAATTAGAAGCTCTGCCCTTCAGTTCTGGGTTTCTTTCACTGTTCTTTCACTCCATCATCCCTGCTATCAAGAACTGACCCAGAGACCAATGAAACCTTTATGATTTGCTGCTGTTTTAATCTATCTTGCAGATTGTTTTGCAGGAGACATTTTTCTCTGAAGTTGAGAATCTTCCTTTTCATTGCACTCAGTTGTGATGAAGTATACAATTTTATTCCTCATGCTTTCGTCTCCCTACTTTTGATTCTGGGCTATAACTTACCCACTCTTAGGATTTTGGAATCTCGCCTATAAAATGGATGTAATTCCTTCTTAGTTGACTTGTGAGTGTAAAATGATTTAATCTGGGAAAATGTAGTATATCAGTCAGTTTTGCTGCAGTAAGAAATAATCCCTCAATCTCAGTGGTTGATAGCAACAAGTATCTCTTTTATCTCATCTTAGAGCTGCAGGTAGACTTCTACGGCCTTACCCCACATTTCTTCTTATTCTTGGACCTGGGTTGAAGGGCCAGCTGCTTCTTGGATGTGTCATACTCATGACAGTGAGAAGAGAGTGAGTAAGGTGGTAGAAACATGAGATGCCTGTTGAAGCTTCTGCTGGGACGTGGTATTTTTTGTTCTACTCACGTTGCATTTGCTAAACAGGGCGAGTGTTCAAGTCTTCTATCAATTCTATCTCCCATCTTATGGAAGAGGAGTGGTACATGCAAGCCACATGGCAACCAGCAAGCCAAAAGAGTTAGGAAAATAATGTAGTCTAACATCACACACTGTAAACCTATTATACAAGATGTGAATATTATGTTCATCATAAAATAATATTTGATGACATATGAGGAATTGGGCTTATCTCTGGTGTTGATATTTTAGTGATAAATAGAATTTATTTATTAGAATTTATTCTATTTATAAATAGAATTGTACATTCCAATAGAATGTACAGCTCCATAATAGAAGAACTTTTGTGTCATTTATCCCTATATCTTAAGGGTGAACCTTGCATTCTGCCTGGCAAGTAGTAGTATACTAGCTGTTCCAAATAAGTACATGACTTTGTAGCTGCTCTGGTGTTCTGGGGACCCAAGTCAAGTACAGTTAGTTCTCCATAACAGCAGGCTCTGTATTTAAAGATCCAACCAACTGTAAATGGAAAATATTTGCAGGAAATGATGCATTGCTGCTGGTGTATCATGTTACTGCTATTATGTTAAGTCTATGATGATTGCCTCTGAATCAAACATGTACTTACATCTTTCTTTGTCATTATTCCCTAAATGATAAAGTATAACAATGATTTACATACCTGTTATTGCATTGGATATTGTAAGTAATCTGGGGATGATTTAAAGTAATAGGGGATGTGTGGGTATATGTAGGTTTTATGCGAATACTAGACCATCTTATAGAACGGCTCCAAGAATTTATGGATTTTGGTGTCCTGATGGAGAGTAGGTTCTGGAACCAATCCCTAGTGGATATTGAAGTATAACCATGTCTCCATAGTCTCCTTCAGGTTGGAAAACTGACAAAGCATTTCTTCAACTGTGCACTAGAGAGATGTGCATGTTTATCTATTTAGCTCTTAAATTTTAGTGTAATCACATCCCTGAAGTATTTTTCCCCTATGCTGGAACTCATGTCATCATATCAAAGAATTCTAGTGCTACAAACTTAACTCAAGGTCCCCAGCATTGTTGATGAGCAGTGTCCTTGAGAGGGACAGTAATCACATAGTGCTTTTGATCATTGTTGTTTCTTTTTGGGGGCTGTCCAAAACACTTTCTATTCTTCATATCTCTTTCTTTATTGTGGTTGCTCCTACCCTGCCTTCCTAAGGACCAATGGCAACCTTTTCAATGCAGAGAAAAGAAAACCAATGCACTAAGATTCAAGGGCAGGAACAAAGGCCACACAGTGGGTGTTGCAGAGACCCTCCCTCCCCAGTAGGGTTTTTCTGATAGATAAGGCCACCTGAGCCACCACTCCTCCACTCAATAGCTCCATGACCTTGGGCAAGTTACTGAATCGGAATAGAGATAGAGATAATAGCATTTCCTCTTAGAGGTGCCCTGACAATTTAATGAGGTCATACATGGAAAACATTTGGACCCTGGGCAATCAGGGGCACTGCATGGGCTTCCTGATTGGGCAAAATTTCTAACTCCAGTTCGGGTCTAAAACTGCTATGGTGGCATGGGAAGGAGTTTCCAAAGCAATGTTCATTTGAAACACAAGAGACCTTCACAAGGACATTGTTCATCTCTGTCCTGGGCCTCTAGGTTGTGTCTCCTGTAATGGCCTAAGCCAGGCAGTGCTAATCTGTGTCTGGGGGTCTGTGTGTGTGAAGTTCAGCTCAGGAAACATGTCCAGAGCTGTGTCTCAGGCAAAGCAGCTTATGGAAATACAAGGGAGGTTGACAATGTAGTCAAGACCCACCAGTAGGAGGTACCTTGTACACATATCCTCTGGGAGCCATGGCACTGCATCATTTCCCTCTAAGACCTTTATTGCGTAATGTCCTAAGAGGCTAGTGTGAAATGCAACATGAACTTGAAAATAGTAAGATGTCATTCTGCTGTTTATGCTATAATTGAAATTATAGCACATTTAACTAAAATAATTTCATCCTGAGCACCCAGACATGTCAAAATCCATTTCAACATCTAATCCTTTTGTCACAAAGACTAACAGATTTCAGCAAGACAAAAAAAGTCTATATAAAATGATATTATCAGAAGAAAGTTTTTAAAAAATAAAATGGTGTGTTTTGTAATAAAGAAAATACAGGCCTTATTTGCAGGTTAAACATCTTCAGCTTCAACTGGCATTTAGTGGAGAAACAGTCAGCATATAATTCTGAAGACTTGTGTTGTTCAAAGTTTTGTTTAAAGGCAGGAGGCTGATTTTTAGGGTTTTTCCCACCTACCTTGTCCCCCCTAGATCTTCACAACAATCCTGGGAATTACATCTTACCATTTATACCATTGTATGGAAGAAGGAACTAGGGCTCTGGGGAATGTGCATTTGGCTCAGATCACATAGTTAGTAAATGGAGGGTTCACCATTTGAACCCTGAGTGCCACATGTGTCCAACTCAGAGTGTGTGCTCTTGGCATTGAATAGGATAGTGGTCAGTGGTGATGATCTGAGGATGCTTTTTGAAGGCACTTCAGCTCCCCAGCTGCCTGGGCCAAAGTGAGCAAGGATTTGTGTTTACAAAAACCTCTATAATGTCGCTCAAAGAGATTGTGTCAGGAGGATCCTGGGGCACAAGAGAGACCCATTGTAGCAACCATGCTGTGGTATGGACAGCAGGGAGAACTCAGGGCTTCTTCATCATGTCTTCCCAGGGGTGAGTCTTTCCTATCCACACCCTATCATCAGCAGCTGAATGTCTATACCTTGACACTTGTGAGCATGTAAGGTGGCATCAGGATTGTGATGCCTGAACCTGATTCAGTCAACCATTCATTCATTCTTATATTTTTTTGAGCAGCTATTATTCTTGGCACTGAGCAAAACAAAGCCCCTACTTCTATGTATTTGTATGCTTGTCTAGCTAGTTATCTATCTATTTATCTATCTATCTATATACCTACCTATCTATCTACCTGTCTATCTATCTATATAGCTATCTATCTACATACATAGAAACACTCTGTGTTAGACAGGGATGAGGATGGTAGAAAGACATAAAGCTGGGTAATTGTGGTAGGAATGAAAGGCAATCATTTTGATATAGTAGTGTGGATGACCAGATATATGAAAGATGTTGGTATGGATGAGCCATGCCAATATCTAAGGGAAAGTGTGGATTATACAAGCCAGAAGGAAAAGAAAGTGAGGTGATCCCAGGGAACCTGTGGCTTGTTTGATTCAAAGAGCTGAAGTAGAGGGTAATGTGTCTAGGGCAGAATAAATGCAGCCAGCAGAGGTAAGGGGCAAGGTGGCGGCTGGACTCTACTTAGATGGCCTTGTAGAATGGGTTTTTCAACATCCACTGCGATGTCAGTTTCTTTTTAATAAGTTCATATTAGTAATCTTTTGAATAATTTTGCAAGAGAATCTGATAGAGATGGTACAGGCAAGAAAACCAGAGCTGATGTATTTGTCTGCAATCATGTAGTTCACAAATGACAAAACAATGATTTATACAGTCCTGGATCTTAGAGCATACCCTAGACTTTGAATTAGTCATGTGTTAATTATTTATTTAAATACACTTATCCATTTCTCTCTTGTATAGTAACTAACTAATATGATACAGGAAAGAAAATTTCCACTCACTAATTTGCATTAACACACTTAATAGCTATAAAGCATCTTTTTTGGAAGGAGGACTATACCAGATGTGGCTTCATTACTTGAACAAATTGGCACATCCTCCATTACCTGGTGTGTATTAGTCTGAGTTCTTCAGAGAAATAGAACCAATAAGACATATAATTATACATAAAGAGACTTATTTAAGGAATTTACTCACATAGATATAGAAACTCAGAAGTTCCAAGATCTGCAGTTGGCAAGCTAGAGACCAGGAAAGCTGATGGTCTGGTTTCAACCTGAGTCTGAAGGGCTGAGAACCAGGAGAACCAATAGTGGAAATTCCAATCCTAGACCAAGTCCAAATTCAGAAGACCCATGTTTTAGCTTAGAGAGAGAGAAAGAAAATGCTCTCCATATTTGTTCTGTTCTTTCCTTCAACAGACTGGATGAAACCTACCCACTTTGAGGCAGGGCAATCTGCTCTATTCAAATGTTCGATCTCAACCAGGGACATCCTCACACACAGAGAATAATATTTTACCAACCTGTGGACACTCTGTAGCCCAGCCAAGTGGACACATAAAATTAAACATCACAGAGAACATTTTAGTGAATATAATAGAATTAAACAAAATGGAAAGTTATCAAGAGGAGGCTCCAACACTTCACAAGGCTTCTTTCGTCTTGTAGGGAGGCCTGAGCTCGCTTGCCCCAGGGCCACGTTGCTCCTTGCACTGACCAGCTTCTCTGGATTCCTAACATTCTTCTTTTGACTTATTTGAGCAAGCTCCATTTTCAGGGTAACACTAAAGCTGGAGCCAAGACTTCTGGTTGCAAATGCCACACCCTTGTATAAACTCAGAATACTTACTTACCTTAGCAAATGTTTGTGGAATAAATATACAAGCCAAGAATAGGTGAATTCATTCATTTACAGACCACAAATGCCAAACCTAAGTCATTTGTAATTTTTGTTTGTGGTTATGAAATTATTGGCAAAAATGAAAAGAATGCTGGTTCTCATGGATCAGTTCTGCTTGCCTGCCAGTTATTCCCTGGAACGTCTGCAAGTTCAATTGAAAAATGACTTTCAGATGAAAGAATGCAATCACTGTCCAAGTCTTTCTCTCCTGATCACTACCACAGTGAAAACAGGAATTTATACTTTTTCCTTTTGTTGTTAATCAATTTGCTTGCTATATCTTGTATTTATGAGGTGTATCCAATCAGCTGCTATTTCTAGGAAGCTGAGTGGTATGGTTGTATGTGTGTGGTGGGGGCATGCACACGTGAGTGTGTGCAGGGCTGTGAACATCCTGCTTTATTTTTCTGCTCTACTTTCTTCTTATTTCCCATAGCAATAATTGACCCCTTTTCATATTAAAGACTCCTCAAAGGTAGAAGAAAACGTGCACAGCAATGTTGGAATCCTCTTCCATGCGATTATCCGAGGAAGTTACTTCTGGAGCCCAGTTAATTCCTGGCTTTAATCAGAGCCTGAAAGCCCCTAATCATGCTTCTGAACATGATAATGGCACATCCTTTCACAAACATCTGGGAAGAAAACATGGTAGGGGAAACTTTTGATTGACAGCAGTAGTTAAGCCCAGCAGCCCTTTGACAGATCCCTCTGGAACTACATGATGTTCTCCGGCTTATGGGAGGACAGAGCAGGGACTGTCCATAGGAGAAATGCTCTTCTGAGGCCAGTCTATGGGAGTTTTCAGAGTGTCTTACAAATCTTCACACAGCCAGTGGCTGCTGGTGTGCCAGTTTTGCCCTCCTATAATTAAAAACACCGAGTCTTCTGTGACTAAGCCCATCTACCACAGGGATGGACAACCTTTATAATTCTTATTATAACTTCCATGAGTGACAGGTGGACAATGAGTTAGCAGGGTGTTGACCCCACCCATATCAGCTCTGTAGCCCTTTACCACACTCAGTCAAGATGAACTTGACTTTTAGTCACCAAACACTGCTCAAATGTCTGCTGGCAGTCATGCACTGTGCCAGGCACCGACGAGATGTCATAGCTTTCTGCTTTGAGCATCAGCCTGATGCAGAGCTCTTTCTCATGAAACTGGTCCTAGAAAGAGATGGTCAGAGGCAACATTCATTTCTTCATCCATCCAACAGATACTCTTAAATGCACTGTTTGGATAGGACTGTTTGGAGTGTATAATAGTGAGCAGGATTGACATGGGCCAAGCACTGAAAACATACTTACAGGCTGTCTAATTGTAGGAGACAACAGATGAAATGAACTGTAATATTGTAGGACAATGTGTGAAAATGTGTGATATAAACAAAATTGTAGAGAAAATGTTTACACACAATTATTTATCAACTTTGGTGTGTTTCATTTATATTTTGACTATATTTTTTTTTAAAAAAAGAATTAAGGTGTACATTGAAGTCCCTTGAAACTTTGCTTGGCTGGTGTGGGCAAGGTGAAGCTTCTCAGTGGTGTTTCTTTAGTGGGAGTGAATAATTCAGATGGACTTTTATAGACTGCTGCATGTTAAGATGTTGAGGAAGACTATGACTCCAGGTCCTTGTTTCTCCAGTTCACCCTGCCTAAAGATGCCTTTCAACTGACTTTTACTAGCTAAATGCCATTGTTTAAGCTACATTTCAAAATTGCGAACTGAAGTTATTATTCATGCATTTGACAAATATTCATTGAATTCCTACTTTATTCCAGGCATAAGTCTAGGCATTGGGAATGTGATACATTATTGAAAAAATTAGATGATAATAATAATAACTTTAATAGTGTTAAATTAATATTAATAATAACATAGCAATAAGATAAAGGTAAAAACCTAAATTTGTAATCCTTATTGCATATCAATAATAATATGTAATATAAATAATAAGTATTCTAAGGTAAAGCTAGGATTTGCTGGCTTCTAGTATATTAGAAGGTCAAAAGACCAAGAGTGATGAACACTGAACCCCAGAGATGGTTCTCATCTAAAAGGTAACATCTAAGCAAAATCTGTGAAGATGAATGTGTGAGCATATCCATATCTAGGGGAATATGTTCCAGGCAGAGACAAAAGCCAGTGTGATTGATGAGTTTGAGGACCTGCAAGGAGGCCAGTGGCACCCAGATAAAAAAAGGGGAAGAGTAGAGGTGATATTAGAGAGGTCATGGGAAGGAAAAGACTTTGACCCTTCGTCTGACAGGAAGAGGACCTACTGGAGAGTTTGAACCACAGGAGGGTCACAATAGCATCTAGGTGCTCAGAGTCACTCTGGCTGCTGTAAGAGAAATATACCAAAGAAGGCCAAGAGTGGAGTTACAGAGGCCTGCTGGGAGGGTAATACAGCTAGTCAAAGGAGTCTGAGGCATGGAGATGCTGGAGAAGTTTAAGATAAAGGCAAAGGAATTTCCTGAACGATTGGATGTGAGACATAAAATGAAGAAGAGGCTAAGATAACTCAATGTGTTTGTCCTGGAATTATCATTCGCTGAACGAGAAAGTCCGTGGGTGAAGGAGGAATGGGAGGAAGGATAAGGAGTTCAGGCCATGGGGTCAAGGTAAGCTGTAGTTAGGCATGCAGGTGAATATTTCAAGTAGACTGCTGGTTATGGTAAACAAGGGAGAGGTCAAAGCTTGAAATGGAAATTTGGGATATGTGAAAATATAGATTATATTTAAAGCCATGCAGCTAAGTTGAGGCCATCAAGAGAATTAGTCCCGATGGAGCAGAGAGGGGATGAAGGTCCAGAGGAATTCCAATGTTCAGAAGTTTGGGGAAAAGAGAAGAAACCAACCAAGGAGGTTGAGGAGAAGCAGCCATCAGCTGGGAGGAAAGTGAGAGTCTGGGATCCCCTAGCCTTCAAGGAAATGAAAACTTTCTAGAAGGGATGATGACTCACTGATGTCAAGTATTTGTAATACTATGGGTTTAGTGAGAGTTGACCTTTGGCGTTAGCATCTTGGAGGTCATCATGTCCTCTGCCATGACCCTGCCCACCCCACTTGCTTCCTCTGCCTGCTCACCTAACTTGACCTCTTTATGGAATTGCATCTCCCACTGCTCTGCAACAGACACCCATACAGGTTTGCGTACACTGGTGAGCACCTCCCCATATATCAAGAACTATGCTGGAGAAGATGAGTGTGCAACTATATCTTAAAGTCTAAGGAGAAAAACAAAGTGAATAGAATCTGTTACAGCAGAAAAAAGTTAATAGAGGTACAGTAAAATTATGAGAGGTCAGAAGACCAAAATATCTTCTCCAGGTTTCAAGGTTGGACCCATGACTGATATGGCCTTTGAGTTTGGTCTTGATGAATGAGTAGGATGGAGAATTAAGATGGTGGAATAGAAAGAAGAGTAGTTGACATAATGGAATGTATGAGCAAGAACATGCAGGTGGGAAGCCTGGGAGGGTGGTGCTGGGCCAGGGGTAGGGTCAAAGAGGAGGGGGCTGATATGGGAAACTGCACACGAGGAGTCCATGGGACACACACAGCACTCAAGAACATAGGGCCATTGTGTGGAACTGGGGTTCTGGGATCTCCTGTAAACCACATAAGCCTTCTGAGTGCAGTGGCCTTGGCCTCTGCCATCATGTGCACTTGTCACCCTCACCCCACCCCATCCTTTCCCAGCCCGTGTGTGCTCAAGCCTCACTCATTAATGACATGAAGCCTGCTTATTTTTAGAACACTGTGATTAACAGTTTCTTCAATAAAGAAACAAAGAACCCTGTGCATTTCAGTTGCCACTTTAACTAGGCTCCACAGAGCCTGTGAGCTGGCCCATCCAGGTCACCTCTGGTGGCTACTGTCTGATCTTCTCTCGCATCTGCTGTGATCAAGTATGTGCAGCATTGTGAGGAAATGTTGAGCAAAAGCATCTCCTGAGGCCAAAGAGGGTGATGGTGATACACAGCACCACCCAACCAGCAGTGCCATAGGAAGGGCCAAGTGACCAGATGGGGCTTTTTGCTCCACCTCCATAAAGCTCGGCCCATCAGGCCTGCCTGCTCATTTTCCCTAGAAAACCAGCCACAGGACTATGGCCATTATGCCAGAGAATGAAAACACACTCAGTGCCCTCCATTCCCTCAGCCTCACGGGGTGTGCCAGGAGACAGCAGGTAATAGCCCCCAGGGGGATCATCACAGGTTTCTGGTGGTTGGAACCCCAGCACCGTGGGGGAAGGGCCTGGCCCGCAGCCAGCCCCAGCATCCCCTGTTCATGTGGCAGAGCAGGGGAAGAGCCTTTGTGGCAGGCGAGACTGGCTTCCTCCTGAATCTGCCCATAAAAGGATAAAAGTGCTGCTATCTGGTCGGCATTGGGTAGGATGGCTGATAATAAATTTTTTTAAAGTGTGGATTTTCCCCCTTTTGCAAGGATGTGTGTGTGTGTGTGTGTGTGTGTGTGTGTGTGCGCGCGCGCGCGCACGCGCTTGCCTGCTTTTACACAGTTTGCAGCCTGTATGTGCTAACAGATGGATCCAGCCTCATCTTTTATCCGGTGTCACAGAAGATAAAACTGAAACTGGATGACACATTGCTTCTTCAATTTAGAGTGAAAAAAATATAAAAAAAAAAACCTCTTCAAGGGAAGCCCGTATGGTAGAGCAGAGTGGTCCAAAATTTCGTCTGGCTTTGCTCAAACAACAAAACCATTACAAGGTAGTTGTGCCCCCCTCCCTTTCCCTGACTTCTCCAAAATATATGATCTCCTGTCGGAAGTAGGCCAAGCTTTAAGGAGATCATGAATTATATATCAAAGAACATGATTACCCAGGAGTCTTGAACAAATGCCCCATAGTTTAAATTTTACAAGCGTTTCCCCCCCTCCACACACACACATGGCAACAATTTCGTCATTGCATTCTAAGTGGATAGACTAGGAAATTGTTTTACAAAATGCACAATGAGAAGAGGTCGTGTTGATAAGGTGGTTATGCAATGATTAGGAGCCTTTCCTTTATGAAAGAAGGCTTTTATCACATGCACACTGACTGCACTCCAGGTAGTAAAGTCGGTTATCCTCTTGTCTTGCCTCATTTCAGCAGGAGTCAAAGATATCCAGAGTGAAGGCAGATTGAGAGTGGGAAGTGGAAATCAGCTATGAATTCTGAGCCTATCCTTTATGGTGAAGACCCTGCCATTTCATCTGAATGACCAAAATACTTTGCCTACCTATTTATTCACTAAGATTCAAAAGGGCTTTGTGAAATTGGAAACACTCATTGGATAAATAGGAAATATGGAGTGGGGGATCTCGGTATTTTGCCTCTTACTGCTGTGCTTACATCAGAAAGTCAGCCCAGAGCAGAGGTGTGAGGTACTATGTAGAGCCTTCTAGACAGTCAGAGGTGTGGCTGCAAGTGGCCTCTGTGCCGTGCCCAGTCTCCTTCCCAATCTGTTATTCTAGGTTGATGTACTGAAGTTCTGAATTCTCCTTTATACAGTCTCTAGATGAGCCAGGCATAATCCTTTATGTGGTCTCACTTATTTTTTAATCTTTAATAATCTCTTATCAGTCATCTCTTTATTCTTACAGCACTTCAGGGATATGGAGGGTACATGATGTT